TGCTGGTGTTTCTATAGACAGTAGATACATGTTCATACACTTTCAGAGAGAATAGCCAGCTGACAATTTCACGTCTAATGAATTTTTTCTGAATGTTACTGTTTTATAAACTTTGGGTTATTCAGTTCAGAATGATTTCTGTAAAACGTATGTAAATACCTCTACGTTTCTGCAACCTTGTTGGTTGGAGGAACGTTAAGGCAAACGTTTATAGAATAGCATTTTCTATGAAGACCGTGAAGCCAACTGTTATTACTGTAAAAGTCTTCATAACATTGCATGGACATTATCTTCATAACATTACAGCCTAACCTTCTAACATTCTTAAATCTTCTGATAACATTTTCTGGGTAGTCACTATGTGTGACGTTAATACAGTTGACACAGAAATCTAAGCGAACATAGCCTATATATTTAAAACGTTCCTTCTTTCAGTAAACGCTTTCTACTGGTCAGGGTCACGGTGGATCCAGAGCCTATCATATCGTGGGAATACTAGGAATGAAGCAGGAATCGTGGACAGTATACTGTATATACAAACCATATACTCGGTGTGTTTGAGGTTTATCTCAAAATGGATACATTCAGTAATTCCATTTTCATATGCATTTGAATAAAAAGAAATAGATTAATTAGCAGTATCGGCCAGAAATTGTACCCTTAGATACAAACACCATGCATCTGAGGAGCCTCTTCTGCTTTTTTTTTTTTTTTTTTGCCTCGTGGAGGTTTAAATAACATGCAATTAATCCTGACCCTTTTGCGCGCCCTTGCACTACAGATTCATGATTAGCCATTTAATTAATAGAGGAACACTTCATTGCACTGACAACAGTAATTTTCAGCTATTTATTTGGGAACAATCACTAAAAAGTGCTATTTTGTCTTTTTTGCCAGCACGAGATCTACTTTGACTATTGATATGCACCTAGTAGATGAGAAAAGGATCTTTGCTCTGTTTAAGCAGCACTACTAAAGGGAGTATAAATGTACCAGAATGTACATATACACGATGTGTATATGTGTCTTTCAGACCGGATATTCCTTGCTGTTCTTGTTTCGTTTTGTTTTTCACCTAAAAATTTGAAAAAGAAGTGAGAATATAATAAATCTAAGTGAAGCCAATGAAGCTCCTTCATCTAATATCCAAACAATAAAAATAACATAAGAATCTCCTATTTTTTTTTTCCAATTTCAACGAGACATTGAGCAGGAACTCCATATAAAAATCTGTCACTGTCATAGGAGGTGCTGGTTGTCAGTTGATAATGGAGCAGAGTATTGAAGGCCTTCGTCTGTCTGCTGCCCTAATTACACCAGCACGGCTCTCCACCCATGTGTTAACAACACTTGATTTATTTCCTGTTCGCTAGCTCAATAGGAACCGAGTTAATTGGTTTTTCAAATGAACGTTGAAATGGAAGGATCAGGCGTCATTAACTGCAGACCATTTTTGTAATGCAGGGTGGCTTGTAAGTCGGTGTTAAGGTCAAAGAAGTGAAAGGCAGGGGCTTTTGGAAACAACTGTTTGTTTAGTTGGTGATTATACCATAGCATACTATATAGTATACACAATTGTTAGGTTAGGATAAAAATAGGAAAGGTTTTTTTGTTTTGATTTTGATTTTACTCTGAATAATTTGTCGTTGTTTGCAATCATTGATGAATGTTACTTGGCTGTTATTATTCTAAGGGCTTATATGACCTCGGAAATACAGCTACTGTAAAGCATTAGTCAGTATTAGCTATTAAGGTCTTGAGAGGTTTGAGCTTTGTGCACAGCCGGCACCTGAAATTTTTATACTGCCATCCTGCCTGAATTCCAAGTCAGTGTACTCTGACAGAAGTGTTTACCCAAGGATTTTCTTTCATGTTTGTTTTGCCCAGGATAATGAAAGAGCATTATATCTACAGGGCTTTAGGAGGGTCGAAAGAATGCTGTCTCGGAGGTTTATGATATGGATTTATCTAGAAGCACCCTTTCATATTGGACATATTGTACTGGAAATATAGATGTAGATGATGTTTTGTCTGGAAAATTCTCATCAAATGACAATGTCAAAAGGCTAGTGTTCTCTGTTTTGCCAGAGATGATTTTTAAGGGCAAATCCTATTAGTGTGACCGACATTTTCATGAATGTGATTTAGACCCAGTTCTGTTTCACTGCTTAGATTTTAAGATTTTCTGAGCAAGAAGCCATGTTAACAAAACGGTCCATTAAGAAGAAAGGGCAGGTCTCTGACTCATTCATTATGAGAGAAAACTAATAGAGCAAGGGTTCAGCTTCAGATCCCTTAAACAACTTAATCCTCGACATAATCCTTAGCTTTAATTTGGCCTAATCCATGTTCACCCTCATAAAACCACTGCTGAGCCAGATGTAGAATTTCAACATTGTTAAGGCAAAAGACAAGACCCAAGTTGCCAGCCAAGTTTTTCTGCTGGATTAATCAAAAGAGATATGTTGAATTTTTATATTTCAAAAATTATTTGTAAAAGTTTGAATTACAGCATGTGCAGGCAAGATTTAAAGTCAGCATTAGCATTAGTCAGTCAGATCAGTGTTAGATAATTAATACCGATAAAGACCAGACCACTATTTGGACCCCTAATAAAGTGATAAGAACACATCTTTACTCTAAGAAAATGCAAAGGAAAAGAGAGACAGGAAAATGTGACAAGACCAAGAGCACCAAAAATAAATGCAGAAGTGATAGCAAAGGATTAAACCTTAAGACCTTCTCATCAGCTCGACTGGGAGCCGCGTGTCTTTCTCATCAGCCTGCCTCTATTATTCATTACACTCGCTAACTTTGCATCAATACTTATGCAATTATAAATGTTGGTGTAGAGGATAGGCCTAAATATCAGTGGAGGAGATGAGAAAATGTTTAAGACCCTATTCTGAATAAATTACATCAATTTCTGTCACTATGGGATCTTTTTGAGAAGAATCTGAAGGGTTAGAGCCTGTTTAATCTACAGAATTTACAGAGGTTTAAGGAGAGTGATTCGAATATGAGTGTATGTAAACCTACTGCTGATCCACCATACTTTCAGTCACAGCATTAGTCTCCCAGAGTACAAGTTTGTAGTGCCAAAACTTTGCACTTTTGAGTGAAATGTTAAAGATTTGTCAGTGGCACAACAGAAAAACCTTGACCCTATGGTCAGATATCGCAAACCCCTGACAGTGCCACAGCCATCCTTGGCCGGGAGTCCACATGAGCAAAACTGGTTGTGCTCACTGGTGGGAGGGATAGCACTAATCTCTCTCATGTCAATCACAGTGACAGTAGTCAATTGTGGGCACCTGTGAGCTCATGTATGAGGAAGAGGGCAGATAGTTGTTTCCTCCGTGTGTTCAGCTGCACTGAAGCGGCATGAGCAGCAGTTTGAAAAGGTGCAGTGGCTGGCTGAGTCTCAGGGGAAGCACGATATAGCCTTCACCCTCCATGGTTGGTAGCTGCTGTCTGATAAGGAGAGCTGGCTAGGGGGTAGAAATTGGCAAAATTACCAAAAGTGGGAGAAAATGGGGTTAAAAAAAAAAAAAAAAGAACACTATTGTGCTATTTCTGGATTTTAAAAGTGACAGATGACTGCTGAAACAGTCAGTCACATTATTATAAGTTCACTTTACTATAGTTCAAGTCTATAGTATACTATGCTATGTACAGTATGTTTTAGAGATTATATTGCAAATTTGGTCAGTAAGTTGGCAATAATCAGTCAATATACGTATACACCTACATCACAGCAGCACATTTGACAATTACTGCACTTCCATAGCATTGCTCGAGTGTTTCCAACACTGGACATCACACTTAAAGCAAACAGTATGACAGCCCATGCTAAAGAATGAATGAAGTAACACATGTAACACATACGGTATATACAGTACATATAAATAATTAATAATTCTCTTACCCAGGCATACACACACAAACATAAAATATTCCTCTAAACCCAAATAGATGCGTTTCCTTCTGCTGCTTCCCTGAACCCAACTAACACAGTCTACTGCATTATTGGAGAGCACCGATTGGTACAGAGTGACATGTGCCTTGCACTTAATGCATGTTAAGGAGAAGCAGCAAATTCCCTTTTGTACACCATATCTTTTTTTAATTCCATGCATTTAAAATATTTAAACTGCTACTACTCATCAGCATGTCCAAACTTACATTCCCCAGTCTCATAACTATACACTGTTCCTATTAATTGTACTGTAATTACTGAATTATTCATAGAAAGTACCGAATAACATGATTTACAGTAAATACCTGAATAATAATAAAAAATGAAGAGTTTAAAGGATAAATAGTGGGAAAGATTCAGTAGGCTAGACATGCAAGTAACAAATGATCTGAGTAGATGACGCAGTTTAGGAGATATATTTTATACACTTTGTAAAAGCACAGAACACCTGAGAAGGTGCTGATGATATAAAGGATGTTGCTTCTAGCATTTGTACCCTTTTTCCCACACATTATCGCTCCTTGTATTTTCCTTGAGACAACACTGCTAACAATCTGTGAAGGGCATGTAGAAAGGCTTGATTAGACATAACAGGGAAAGATTATTTATTCCTCCTAGCAGACACCTTTATCCAGAACAGTGTACAAGTGAGGTGGCATGCACAAGCACACCATAAGGTATATACATACAATATATCCAAGATATAGCTGAGCACACCCTTAGGACACGAAGACTTTTCATTTATTGCAGCAAGACATTTAGTTTATTAGGTTTCACAGATGTTCCTTCCTTATCTCATGTAACAAAAGTAACCAAATAATATAGGAGATACAGCCGTACCCTATGCTCACAACAGCAAGCAACTAATCGCTCGTGTCTCTTATAGCTTGTCTCTTTTGGGCATGCAGCAAATTTGCGCACTTGCCAACATTTTTTAGTTTTGATGAGAAATAGCAGTAGCTATATAGCTTCTAAAGCTAACTAGGTAAACACAAATTAAATAAAGCCCTCAGTGGCAGCTTTGCAGCGCTGGGATTTGAACTCATGATCTTCTGATCACTAGTCCAACAGCTTAACCACTGACCTACCTTCCAAACCTTATTGCTTATGGTAATGTCTCTATACACATTTAATTGAGGTTATTTAATATGACAGTTAAAGGTTCTTTTCTTCCATTTTTGCAGTAGAAACTAAAAAAACTAGGAAGTAAAAAATCTCAATTCAAATGTTTGTTGGACTGTCACTTTGTTGCTTGATGCTATCGCTGAAATGGCAGCTTTGTGTCATGCACATACACATGAAAATAATAGTCGTCTGCCGCTTTGATGTTCACTAATGTGAATGCAGGGTTATAATACTAAGATTACAAATTGTGATGTAAATGGTTCTGACTGTGGTGTAAATATCCTCTAATAACTTGTAGGCCTACAGTTTGCCTTTACAACTGTCCCGGCCCTGAGAAAGGTCATGGCAAAATCTCTTTTCTGTGGATCAAACTCATATTGCTATGTTTTGGGTTGTTGTCTTGTTGCAGGATTCACCCACAACTTATTTTTTTTTAACATATTGCAACTCTATTTCCTTGTTCTTCTTTGTAACACAATCATAATGTTGATGTATAATATCCTTTTTTTCCCAACTGGAAGCCATGGAGAATGCACACTTTGGCACTGTGTATGCCTAGCAATGGATAGCTGAGCAGTTGATTTTTAGGTGCCTTAAAACTTTCATTTTGTCATTGTATATTGTCTTCCAAGGTCATTCTAAATTCCCTCAAATAGGATCTACTATTTATTTTAAATAGGATTTATGTAGATTAGTTTTTGGTGGATAAATAGCTAGTTGGAAAAGAAAAAAAAAGAAAATTGTGCTTCCATTTTATCAGTAAAACACACTAAAAATTCTGTAAGTGTCACATCTTCATGGGAATAAGTGAGATTGGCGTCTTCTTAAGTGATTAAAGATTAAGTGTGGTCATTGTCAGTGATACTGTATTAATGTGAGCTACGGGTCAAACTCTGACCTCCTTCCCTCAAACATGGCAAGTGAAACAATTATCCCTGCACACAATCAATATTTTCTGTTGGACATGATTCAGCCATGTTGCCCTCCTCACAGCGAGAGTGTATATATAAGAGAAATCCTTTCTTGGTGTAATTAAAAATTGATTTTTCACTACTAAACAATTAGAGTGCTGTTTTCTGAGTCCTGATGAGTGTAAGTCTTCTGCCACTGACAGTCACCCAGAGTGTTTCTGTTCTTTCAGGGTTATGATGATGGATATGATGGGGAATATGACGAACAGGGTTATGAGGCCTACGACGATGGTTACAGCAACCAGTCCAAAAGGTATATGTTCTCTTCTTTTATCTAGGGTGTTGGTACAGTTATAATCCACAGGGGCTTTAATGTTGTATTGTGCAAAAGTGAAGCCAGAGCTGGCATTCAAAAACAACGCCAGTATTTACGCAGGGAAAGTTACTCGTCTTCAGGGTTGGTTTCTTAAAATTAACTGCATGCTGTTCACGCCTCTGAGGTTACCAGATTATTTTCTTCGTCGAGGTTTTTGAATAGTGTCTAGACCACCAGCTTTAAACAGAAGCACTTGCCTTTAAGCTAAAAAAAAAAATCAGGATAGAAAATGCAGAATAAAGAAGCAGATTGTCAAATGACATGCCATGTAACATCCAAGCAAGAGCCAATTTAAAAATGAAAAAAAAAATAATAATAATAATATGATGATATACACTATATGGCCAAAAGTATGTGGACAGCTGACCATCACACCCATATGTGGGCCTTCCCCAAACTGTTGCCATAAAGTGCCAGAATTGTATAGGCTGTGTTTCTATGCTGTAGCATTACAATTTCCCTTCATATAGTGGAAAAAAACTAGTGTAGAAGAGTGGAGGTTATTATAACAGCAACTGGGAGACTAAATCTGGAATGGGATCTTCAACAAGCACATGGCCATATAGTGTAGCAAGCACTGAAACAAACAACTGAAAGTATTTTGCTATATTGCCAATATATTGCTGTATGAATTGTCTTAATTGTAATTATCACATTAATCACTGCAAATTTAGTTGTTGTTGTTGTTGTTTGTTTTTTTAACAGTATGGCTCCCACCCTCATTATACAACAGTTTATAAAATAGCGCTCGAGATGCTAAATTGAGGTTATGAAATTGAATATGGTTCATGTAGGCTTTTTATTACACTTTTTATTACAATTTGCTACTGTGATGTTTTTGTTATGGCGATGTTTTCGGTAATTTGATGTGGCTATATCACACTCTCAGATATAGCCACTGGACTTAATACTGCTCCTCACTCTAACCGATATCAGACAAAAAAAATTGACTTAAGTTCAAGGTCAGAATCGTACATGACCGAGAGACACCTCAGTTTTACTTAAACTCCACCCCATGTATGCATTACCCCCGCAGCATCTGAATAGCCCTCAAGTCTGGAGTTATGTCTACAGTCTGTATACCAATGTGTGCAATTTCAGTATTAATTCCCTCACTACACTACTACCTCAACTCAGAATATGACTCCTGGTGCTTTATGGTTGGAAAATAAATAGGTATATGTCTGTCTTAAACATTGATTTTCCATTTTTTTGAAACATTGTTTCATTTTCATTGCAGCGGTTCAGAATATTACGAATACGGCCATGGAACCAATGACGACACCTACAACAATTACGGTAAAGGTCGCTCTCTTTTGTTATGCTCAAAGCTAAATGGTTATAAAAAAAAATAGCTCTGCACTTACTTGCTTGTATACTTTCATTGTAAAGAGTGATGTTTTAGAGTTTAGAGGTTTCACACCACCACTCATGCACACTCAAATTCAGCTCTTTATACAGTGACATTTACTGGAAAAGGTCATTCTGTTTCTCCTGAAGGTGCAGAAGACATACAATGTTCTCTGTTTGTAAACGCAGAAAGAAATGTGGTGCTGTTTCGGGGCTTTAAGGAATCATAAGCTGACCATTCTCCTATTAAGAGGGTCAGAAACGGACAAAGCCTTTATGACAGACGCTCAGTAGTCCCTCTCATCTTGTTTATTTTGTAAGGCTGATATTAAAACTGAATGAATAAACACCCAGATGGTCATTGTAATGACACCCACAGGCCATTTGCGGAGCGTTCCTACATCTTACATGTTTAAGATGCTCGGTGGAACATATTGCTCAGTGGGTTATCATCTCAGAAGAAGGAAGTTTATTGAGCCTGCCAGAAAAGTAGAAGCTTCCTGATTGTGTCTCCGGAGTGGTGCACGACAGAGTTCTGTCGACATTGCAGGCTTAAACGTAGGCTTACACTCAAGCTTACACTCATATATCGCCCTTGCCGAGGACATACAGCACTCCCCCTCTTATTTCCACTCACAGCAATGAGATAAAGAAAAAACACCTCCTGTTTTCCCAAATAACCAGAGTGCTGTGCTCGGCGGTAGCCATCTTACCTTGGCAGCTTGCTGCAGGGGAGGCTTTAAGATGCACACAGAGTAGAGGAGCAGAGCCAGAGCCAGGCTGGAGGCCTCAATGCAGCCCACTGAGAGACGAGCCATGGCCTTTTATACGCTACTTTGCCTTTTGAGCGCCTGCCCTCACCGGATTATGTCCCAAATCAGGGATCGTGCTGCTCTTGGCAGGGGCTCCATCGCTCTCCACCGGAGCCATTTTCGCATTGTGCTTTGTCCGTTCCAATTATTCATTATACAGCGTGCCAAATTGTGCACTGGAGTGCTTTGGCATGGCTGATGCTAAAACAATGCCTCATAATCATTCAGTGACATGAAACCAAAATCTCAGCTCTGCACTTGTAATGTGATTTAAATGGGAACAATGTGCAGCGGTCAGAGCTTTAGACATGAAAGTAGCCTTGAGGACAGAAACTAAAACATTCCACCCACTGTAGTAAAGCTGTCATGTACTATTACTCACTGTATTTATTATGAATCTTTCTGTTTCTTAAACGTGTGCTCATAATGCTCATTTCCTCTGCAATCTTGCCACTGCACTGTAATGGAAACATCACATTAGCTGTATCGAGTGTCAGGATTCCCCATCCTGAAGGTGGCCTGATTGTTTTGAGGATGGCCCACTGAGCACGTTCATAGCGCATTGATTCCCAGCGTGCGCTGTATTTATATGACAGCTGGATCAGCCAGCAATTCCTGCTTCCTCTTCCGAGCTGCTGCTAACTGATAATTAGGGCAGTGTGACATTGCATACCACTCAAATCAGGTGAAATTGAACAGCAGCAAATCTAGGCAGAGCTCATTGAGATACCTTTGGTATTTGCTGTTTATCTGGTTACTCTAATGTTCTGCATCATTGCACATCTTGAATAACATCTTTATACTCATATTGCTATATTGTGGCTGTGGGAAATCAGCGAAGATTCACTTAAAGCATCAGTATGAAGTTGTTGAAGCAGAGCCACAGCTACTGCAGGAATTAGACCAGAGTTTTAAAGGGTTTATCAGATATAGTAGGGAGACTTAATGTCAATTTGGATGACTGGGCGGATGGATGGATAGGTTGAATGAATAATTTATTCACTTACCATAATACAGATTTCAGATTCTTATGATGTCTTGTGGTCCCTTTACCTGTAGCAGAAGAGGAGTGGACTCAGCCACGGCCGAGCCTCAAAGCTCCAACTGCAAGACTTTCACGAGGGGGCTACAGAGATCACCCCTATGGTAGATACTAAAGGTGCTCCACATCAGTGATCCCCCCTGCCTGGCATCCTTATGTAATAATCTAAAAAATATAAAATAAAATAAAAAAAACCCACACACACACAAAAACATGTATTAGGTCAAAATCTAACCTCCCCTAACCAAGGAGCGAGAAACTGCATCCAGCATATGGTTTTGATAACACGGTTTATTCATACATCTACGAAACATAAAAGGATCTTGCATTAAACAAAAAGACTTCCATTTGAATGCTGCTTCCCTTTAGTTGTCTATTGTTTGCTCCCCTGAACCTAAAGCATGGAGTTACCTACAAAACGATGCTTCCTTGTTCTTGGCTACCATTTCACCAAGGCAACCGTTCAAGTGTTAGACCC